TCGACGATGCGTTTTGTTTACAGTCGCTGGCGGTGTATTTCGCAAACGCATCGACCGATTTATCTGTGTATCGATTGGGTTGCCCTCTTAAACCGTGGAATCGAGGATCATTGCGAAATCACGAACGCTCGAAATTGCCAGCGTGACGGAAACGTGAACGAGACGTTTCGTGTTCGAGAGAATCGACTCTCGGATACATACAATTAACGTATCGACGATTTACACTGTTCGGTTTTGCAGTCACGGCTCCACCAATTGAACTGCCAAAATTTTTTATATAATTCTAGTCTTAAGAAATATTCAAAACAGAGAAGAAAGCACGGACTTAGACCGGTGTGATTTTAATACCGGTATTATGCCATCAGAGCTATAGGGAAACCGATATAAAGGGTTTGAAAACCTTTCCACCTTGCCATGAATGCTCCGAAGTGGACCCGAGTATGTCGCACTCATCGAGACATTACTGTACTAGTCATTTTGACTCGTCATTATGATCTCGATCTATAATCCAACACACGCCCCCTCCTCTCCAGCAGCCTCTGTGTCGCCCGATAAACTCGTGGACACATCGCGTATTTTCCGACCGATAGAGCGGGATTATCTCTCCTACGATTAAGCGGTCGCGATTTCCGCGGACGGAGCGTAATTCTATGATGCCACAATATCGCGTTCTGGCCGGATTCTCTGTATCATCCGCATCTGTTTACAGAGAAAGTGAACGAGGGGTTGATAAATATAACACCGCCTCGTAAGCCGCTCGCGGATAAGATAGCGGCCGTATTTATATTCTTACGCGAGCACGATGGTTAATCGCATTCCGCACGTCGACACAGCTCGAAACCATAGACGTATAATACCTAGACCGCGCGCGTTCTGAATATCTTCAGTAGTCAGGCCGTGTAAAAAATTAGAAAGAGTTAGCTGCTGTGCGGTCAGCAACCTATCTTTTTATAACGATGCGTTGGTACGATAAAGAAGTTTTCGTTGCCTGGGAGACAGGGAAGTGAAGGGAATGAAGAATAATGAATGTCAGACAAAGACAGAATGGTAACCTAAAGCTCGCTATTTTTTTGTAATATATATTGTTTGAGAAACTATAATCGATGTCATAGTACAGTAAAAACATAACAGTATGTTTTGTAAAAACGAAGGTATTATTATAAGTGTAATTTCAATTCCATTTTTGATCAATAGACAGCGGACTTTATGCATTTATAGCATAAAGGAGTAAATGGAATGCAATAGAAGATATAACTTACATCAGGTTCAATATATTTCTCATTTTATTCTTAACGCAATGAACTCTCTAGGAGGAAAAATAAGTCTTTGTTTTTAATTCTGCCTTTGTAAATTCCTGTATAAAATTTTAGTTTTCATAAAGATCAGCAGTCTATTGATCAAAGTACAAATGAGTGGTACTTCGAAGTGTTTATAACAATTTTATCACCCACTGTAATGATTTGGGAACGAGAGGACTAATATTAGTCGCATCCTATGTGTGTATGGTTGTTTATCGCGTAGGCGCCACACGGGTAACAGCTGTACACTGAACTTAACGGAGTTTATCAATAGACAGATGGATCATAGGCGGTACACGATCGGAAGTCGGGAGGCTCGAACGTCAAACAATCGCAGATATGCCTCGGGAGATCGTTGATTACCAGCTGGATTGGAGCAGTGTGTGTGTGTGTATGCTCTGTGTCATTGCCTCCTCTCGCATGGCCGCGATAAACGTCCCTAATGATCGTACGATCGGTTCAGTGGCGATCGTTTCGCCTCGTCTCGAGTCTAAATACGGACAGCAACGAAGATACAGGGATTTTTCTACGCTTTTCTCGGCTATTTTGTCGGGAGGGAATTTGCTGATGGAAATGTAACGTACGCTTCGAACAGCAAATCCGTAGTATGTATTGGAAGTGATTATAAACATTTATTATGCAACAATCTGATAGTTTGTAATTAAAAATGTCGAACCATTGCAGAAGAACGAATATGATTTTTGAACGCAAATTGTGCCGTGGATGTTTATGGAGATTTAAATTGTTTTTAATCAATTTTTTCGATCTTTTTTCATCTTCATTTCGATTTTCTTTCTTTCGTAATTTACTGGGCGTATCGTCTGGTAAATAAATGAAATGAAATTTCCATAAAAATCGAATCGATCGAAACGAAAAATATTTCAGGATTACGTTACCTTCTGAATAATACACCGTCTGTGTCGTAACCGTTTTCTGTTAAAAGAACATATGTATTGCGATATCAAGCGCGCCGCGAAATTGAAAACCGAATGGAGGCCGACGTAAAACGCGTGGAGAATCGTCTCGCGTTTCATTGCGATGCGCCGACGAATGTTACACCGTCGCATAAGTTTATATCAACCCTTATTACAGGAACGGTTCTGTGGACGGAACCAGCCATAATTCTAGGAAGTAAAAATACACGGTGCCACTTACGAAAAAAATATCAATGTTTCATAATAAAAGAGAATTCATAAATAAACAAATATAGAAACAAAAAAAAGTATAGGACCCCTCGGCATCGAATATTCAACGCATGAATATAACAGATCTCATAATACCGAGTATGCAAAATGTACGTGAACCCTGTGCGAATAAAATGGACGGCAGCCGCGACGCTGTAAGTGTAACGAAGCGTATTCGCACGGTATTGACGGATGGATGATGGGGACGTATCGAAAGCGGTATCCATCGATTGTACGGGCTCTTCGAAATCCAGGGAAGGAGAGACGACGATTTTATTGATGCGCGTTTTCACTGCAACGATTGGTTACAGTACGGCCCTTTAATAGCGAGTTTTACCAGGTTTTTATTAAATTGGCGCACGTGAAATTTCGTTTTTTACGGAATTCGAATTTGTCAGGCTAATAATACATCCAGTAAATGTCCGATCTTCTATTCAATTCTATTGCTTTGAACCATGTTAAAGAGAAAGAAATACTCTGTTTCAGAAATTACCAGGGCAACCCAACTGTTAGGCGTAAATAAACTACTATAGTTTATCAAATCTAACATTTATTTTCAAGCGAATCGTAAGCTTAATACCATTTCAATGATATTTCTTTTGAATCTTTCATGTTTATCGCCATTTTCAAAGAAGAAAGGGGTAAAAAGGTGTTGCGAATTTAAATTGTGTGTTACCGGTTTATTAAAAATAACTAGGGGATTACTTACTGGTTCCACTTAATACATATTACCTTTATGATGGATTCAGAATACCAGAGGTATAGTCGATAAGGCAAAAATGAATATTTTACGCAAAGGAACAGTGGCTTCAAATACTATTTCGCACAATTAAATCCCCCATAATGGAGGTTACTGATCACAGTGGAGATACTGTGAAATTAATTTACAATAACTATTTGAAAGTCGTACAATATTTACACTTCCAACAGCGAAAACTTGAACAGTAGTGCGTTTGGTCACGACCACGTTGTGTCACAGTGGTAAAAATTTGGTCATAGTCGTTGGACACAATGTGTACATTGTGCTCCGGCGTAGTCAGTCGGGCATGCGTTCCTCGGTTATCCTCCTCCCCAATTCTTATTGGGCTTTTCATGGACGTGCCAAATCATTCGCCAGCGACTGCGTCCGTCGCCCTGTTTACTTGTCGCCTCTCACATCGAGTTCCTTATTGGGAATCACTTCCGGTGGCTTGTTCGTGAACTGCTAGGCGATCATCGAGCGGGCTCCCGCGATCGATTCTATTCCACGAGCACGTGTTTCTCCCGAGACGAGGGGAAACCACCCCTCTCGCACCCTTTCGGTAGTTGATTTACGAGAAGGATGATGACCAGTTCGATTCCATCCTCCGACGAATCTGTAACGTTTCGATGAAATGAATGCAGTGACCACCGTCGGTCTGGCCACTGAACCGTTAAAAAGTCACGACATTTCTCTTCCCTTCTCTCCCCCCGACTAAAAAGTCTAGTTAACGTTCCGTGTGGTTTTGCCGAGGAGTAACACGATTAACAGCATCCGCGTGATCCGGCGGAATAGATGATCGACGGAGACCAGGTACACGCAACCAGGTAAGTCGAGGGCCGCCTCGATCGCGACCGATCCCCCAGAGATCGCGAGAGAACCGTGTGGTGTCGTACCCGCACGATGACTCACTCTGGTTGCATCACCTCGTTGTGTATACACACGCACTAACAACAGGACAAGTAAAAAAAGATCGTTCACTTTTTTGTTTCTTTTTTTTTCTTAATGATCCCGATGGAGGAGGTGAATCATCGGGACATACTGCTGTGTGTGTGTGGACATTGAAGCCCGAAATACGCTTTCATCGCGGGCGAATTTATTCCTACCTTTTGTTTTTTTTCTATTCTTTTTCTATTTTTTTTTCTTCTGCAAATTGAAAAGGATGTGAAAATCAACCATTGACGGCCCATCTACCATACAATGTCTTAGCATTCAGTGTTATTTTGTTCATGGAGATGAAATCTGTCCATTGACCCACTGTATCCACTGGAAGTTCTCGTGTCTAACTTGCAACTTGTACATCTGTCTAATATACATATGTATAGAGAACCGTTGTTGGTCTCACTTGCATGCTTTGGGATGATTTTTCGTACACGGCACGTTTCGCAAAATGGGTTCTCCGCATGTTGCATGGCGTTTGTCAGCTTCGCCGCCTCCTTTCCTTTGATCCTCTTTTATACTTGGCTTCGCTGCTTCATCCTTAGGTCGCGCGACGGAGATACCGCGTTTGGATTTGGTCCGTTGGCGTACAAGTTATTCCACGTTACTCCTTCGAAAGACAAGACTCGCAACGATTAACAAACCTACAATTTTATCACGAAATTGTATCGAATATCGAAGTCGACCAAGATATATCTAAAAAATAAAATAAAGATAAAGCGCGCCAGTTGCACGATGGACGGAATCCATTCGCGGTGTTCTCCAAAGCGTTCTCCACACGCATGCGAAGGCTCGTGTCGATTGAACGGATGGTAATCGAGAATTTGTTGTAAAAAAAAGTATCCTCCGGCGGTAACGACGTGACCTGGGTCACATGGAAAATGGCGTTGACGATAGCGATGCCGATATGCGCGATCTGCGTGGTCGTGATGGTGATTTATCACATACACATGACCAAGAGGGGCCCGGACCGACATTTCCCGGATGATTCGACGGAGGCGCCGGATCGACCGATTCTGGGCGCTGTCACCATTAGAGACATGCTCGAGATGACGACCAGCGGCAGTGGCTCAGGTTGGTCAAATTAAAGTTTACAGATCGACCGTTTTTTGTTGTTATAACCAGGAATCGAAATAAAGTTAGCTTTCGTTTGAAAAAAATTCTGCTCGAATTCTTCTTTAATAATTGTTCTCATGGAACGCCATCTCTAGTTAATACCCTGATCGAAATCGCGTTCTCCGCGTCCGTTTCCGCGCGACACACTGGAGGTCATGTTCAATCATACTGAAATTCGTGCTCTTCAATGCCCATCCTCTCTCAAGTAGGCCTGCCGCTTCTGGTACAGCGGAGCATAGCCCGCCAGATACAGCTCGTGGAGACGATCGGGAAGGGTCGTTTCGGCGAGGTCTGGCGTGGCCGTTGGAGGGGCGAGAATGTCGCCGTGAAGATCTTCAGCTCCCGGGAGGAGAGATCCTGGTTCAGGGAGGCTGAAATTTACCAGACGGTGATGCTCAGGCACGATAATATCCTCGGATTCATCGCCGCCGATAACAAAGGTACGCACGACATCGATAGACAGTTTAATAAAAAACGTGTAAGAAGATCCTCGATGAGTCTTCGAGGGCTTCAAGGCACTTCTTAATGAGGTTTAGCACAGTGATAGAGCTTGGAATTCTGAAGGGAATGATATTTGTTTCAGCCGCATCAGGCGAATAATTTATGTAGTATTTAATGTTCCGTGCCGAGGAGCCTACGAACACTTATCGAGGATTTACTGTAACTGCAAACAAGATTTGTCGTTAATATTATCTAATACTGTTGGAAGGAAATTTCTGGTGTCATTTGCCCACTCTTTTTACTTCGCTTAGTGTTAGAACTACTAAGCTTAGTCAAAATAACGCAATTTTACGATTACTGAATATATGCATATTACATATTATGCATATTACTTTATTATATATTTTAATTTAGTGTACATTCAACGTTGGGTAGTTCTTGCGTGAAAGGCAATGTCGGTTATCGTCCCTCCACAAACACAGATCGCGCCCTGCCCTGATTCGATCAATAGATACGAGATGTGAAAATCTGACCACATCGATCTGTCGTTAAAATTACTACTTCTATAGTATAGAACATCATTTATGATTTATAGTAAATTTATCAGTATACTGTTCTCAAATGTCTACTGTCATGCCGCCCACTCCATCGCCTCACTTATGGGCAATGGCGGCCGCCATCTCTCGATACATTTACATATAGACCAGCCTAGCCTAATTCGATCAATAAATGTTATATGCCAAAGTCAAACCGCATCTAATTTGTCCATGATATCAATAATTCGATAGTATAGAAGACATTTTTCGATTTTCAATACTTCTACGAGTAGGTGCTTATATGCTCAATTTCTACTGTTACTTTTGCCCACCCCAATTCGCTTTGCAAACACAGGCCGCCCCCGGTCTGGTTCGATCGATGGACATTAAATCTGGAAAATCTAACCCTTAACCCTAATTTTTGTGTCATTGATTTTTCAGACAACGGCACGTGGACGCAGCTATGGCTGATTACCGATTACCACGAAAAGGGCTCGTTGTTCGATTATCTGAACCGATCGACCGTGGACACGAACGGAATGATCCGGATGGCGTTGTCGATCGCCACGGGCCTCGCGCATCTTCATATGGAGATCGTCGGCACCCAGGGCAAGCCAGCGATCGCGCATCGGGATCTGAAATCGAAGAACATCCTCGTGAAGACGAATGGTACATGCGCGATCGGGGATCTCGGATTGGCCGTCAGGCATGACGTAATAACAGACACCGTCGATATTCAGCTCAATAACCGGGTCGGCACCAAGCGGTACATGGCGCCTGAGGTAATTTAAAAGAATAAGAAATGAAAAAACAAACGGTGATTTACAATTCGGTGCCGATCAACGGCGATGGCCGCCAGGCCGATATCTATAAAGAGACACGCGTGATTTCGAAATCTCTTCATTTTTTTTTATTCTTTAGCAAAGACAAAGTGTGACCTTATTTTTCTGACGTCGTGTTGTTAAACATTACGTATTCGAAGGAAAATTATTTTAACTAACGTGTTGCGTATATGTATTTGGATTATTACGAGGCGATCCTCAGCCCGATCGTCAGGTGACTCTGCGCTCGCGTTCCAATTCGATAAATCAAACTCCCCCCTGAGCAATTTGTTGGTTGTATGCTTTCAGGTTCTTGAAGAGACGATAAACATGAACCACTTCGATTCCTTCAAGAGGGCTGACGTCTACGCTCTCGGGCTGATCCTCTGGGAGATCGCCAGGCGGTGCAACGTCGGCGGTATTCACGACGAATACCAGTTACCGTTCTACGACCTGGTGCCCTCCGATCCGACGATCGAGGAGATGCGCAAGGTCGTATGCACCGATCGTCAGAGGCCGTCGATACCGAATCGGTGGCAATCGATCGAGGTGCGTGGAAAATCCTTGTTACTGATAGATCACAGGTCTTTTAGGAGGTGTGAGATCACAGATCTTTTAGGAGATCTGAAATCGCAGGTTTTCTGAAGGATCTGAGATTTTAGGTATTCCAGGAGATTAGAGATCGCAGGTTTTCCAGGAGATCTGAGAGTACAAGTTTTCTAAGATATTTGGTATCGCAGCTTTTCTGGGGGATCTGAGATCGGAGGTCTTCCAGAGATCTCCAGTGATCCCTGTGGGATCAAGCTGATGGTGTATCTAATTGGTAACATTTCCCAGGCGTTGCAAGTGATGTCGAAGGTGATGAAGGAGTGTTGGTACCACAATGCGGCGGCTCGGCTAACCGCGCTTAGGATTAAAAAGTCCCTCGGCAACTACGGCGCGATGGAGGACCTGAAGTAAGGTTAAACGCTGACCTGACAAGCCGTCGCCGGACGGGTACGACACCGAGGGACACCGGGAATTATGGAAGTGCTCGAGAATACGCATATGGACGCTCGTGCCGTTAACGCTTATCGGAATATAGAACGTTAAATGCAGCTTGCCGTCTTACCACGCACGCTAGAGAGATGATAGAGAGACAGAATGAAAGAGAGAGAGAGACTGAAAGGTAGGTGTAGCAAAAGGAAACAGGACACACCGACTCGAATTCGGGAAATCTACAAAGATTCAAAGAGAGCCTAACGGAAAGATTGGTCGAGAAATCGAGACACGAGACGTTCCTTTAATCGCGCGTATTGACTTCGTTGGGGTCACGACCCATGTATCAGCCTGCATTCGCAAAATGGCGGCGTGTTGCGAGAAGTTCGATTTCGAGTTACTGAGGATTTCTTGGGGGGGCTACTTTTCCAGAGAATATTCGGTGGCTGCGTGTGCTTGATCGGAACACGGACAGATGATCGGACGGGGTGATGGATTTCGATCATTGCTGAACGTTGATTCTTGTCGGTCGCCGAGCGGGGTAATTTATGAATGGGGAACAGGAAAATTCCTTCGCAAGAAAACCGGCCGGTCTCTGTCGATCGATCCGAAATATAAGTATACGGGACACGTTCGGTTGGTGCGAATGATCGACGTCCTTCGTCACACCTCACCATTACTGCTGTATATTTATTAAATAGTAAACGATAAGGATAATGAAGTAATATAAATTTATTATATAACGACGTTTATTGAGTAATCTTAATGGATAACGATAAATTTGTATATTAATATATACACACGTATAATTATGTATACTATTCGTTGCCGGGACGAATGGATTCGATCAACCGAACCGATCACCGGGACTCTGAAAAAACGGTTTGATTGGATCTGATCGTTAATGGGACCGACGGTTACGGTTACGCTCGCTTCGCCGCCATTTTGGTTCACGGTGGCCGTTCGGTGATTCCACGGGGAATACGGCCTCCGAACGCCAGGGATCCACTTGTATTATATATTCTCTTCTTTGTGTGTGTACGCGTTTTGGTCTACTTTTACAAAGCGGGTTTAACTCGTTGCTTTACCGGTGCGTGCACAGAGACTGGATCCGTTTTCTTTTTCGGCGAGTATATACCATACTCAACGTGTTACAAGAGAAATGCATATCTTTGTTTCTTGTTTCTGCGATTACAGGGTCGCGGTTCGTGGATCCTGCAAACATACAGGGTAGATAGAGAGAAATGGAAAAAATCGAGTACCAAGCAATTGCTGGTTATTGAGCGCGAATTGGCAAGACAATAGAAAATACGGGACGCGGTTTTGTTGAAAAGGAACCAGGAATTCTGACTCAATTTTATTAATTTTTTTGTTTTTCGTAACGTGAGACGTTTGATTTTCGACCTGGGAATACAGTATTTATGTACGGTAAAACCTCGATTATACGAACTTATCGGATACGTTTCTGTCGGACGATTGAACTGTTGTTTTTTTTTCTTTTACTTCATGGAACATCGAGAACTTTTTATACAAATTTTTATACTCGTAAAAATAGCATTCGATACTTTTAATTCTGTTCTGAGATTTTTATACTGCGACTCTCTAAACTTTGTTCACTGGACTACTGAAAGATTGAAAAAAGACTAGGAAATAGATGAAGACTGGCAAACTAAAGACCAAAATAAGCGTTTTTAAATGATCGAGGTTCTACCGTACACGCGTTTCCCGGCCATTCAACTGTTCTACACAGGATTGTCCGTACAACGAAGTTTCCCCGCGACTTCCAGGCTTCATTTGTCGATCCGTATCCGTTTACGATACACGTATCTTTAGTCTGTAGACGTACCCAGATGTTTTGCTCAATACGAACTATTTTCGCGTGTTTCGTGTATACATATATATACGCGTGTTTATCGAACGCGACGCGGTCACGACACGCGGGGCTGTCGAAGCGTGTTTCCTTTGTAACACAGGAAGGCTGAAATTGAAGGGTGCTAAGCTCAAGGATGATTGTACACAGTATCGTGTGTGTGTGCGCGAGAAAAAGATAGAGCATGCAAGAGGAATCGAAGAGTGAAAGAAATACGAGAGAAAGCGAGACAAAAAGAAAGAGATCGCAAAAGGAGCCGATGGAAAGAAACATTGGAGAAATTATATTTTCGGGAATTTTTTCGAGGATGAGAAAGTGAGAGAGGGAAACAGATAAGATTCGAGAATATAAAATGCGATGGTTGTGCCGAGAATCGATTACGAACGCGTGCCTCCGTTTATATGGCCACGATCGTTGATCCTACTTTTTCAAGAATATTTTGTATGTTTTCTTTATGTTCAGGATTTTTAAGGACGATCTTGAACGTCGCCACGAACGGTGAATGGGGATCGAGTTCAGAACTCTATGCTTTTCCGAATTTTTTTGACACCGGAACTACTGAAAAATCATTTATATCTATTTTTGTTCAGAGTCAGAAAAGTAATAGTTATTACAAAAAGATACATATTCATAAATTGGGGAAGAGTTCATTCATATATTGCGGTAGCAGTCGTTTCGACTGCCTTTGGTAGTTCCAGTGTCGACGAATCAACAAGAAATGCTTTTTTTTTCTGATGAATCAAAGGTCCTTTAAGGAGGTAAAGTTAAATTTTTATTCTGACTTCATACATATGTCTTTTTTTAATCCTTGGAAGGTGGATATTTTTCATAACCACGCAAACTTGTTCGTTAGGGCACCTACGCATGTTCCTTTCTAACCATACTGTGGAACGTATGTTCCTACGAAAACATTCTATACTTTCATTGGATTCAAGTGATGTCCATTCTAAAAGATAGTAAACAAAGTAAATTATCGATAAGTGCTCGAAGGCCACTGAGTCTTCAGGCGTCATGCCCACCACTGGGCGCTTGACAGGTTCCACGGAGACTCACCTATTGGTGGGAATTGCGTCTGAACACTCAGTACCGAGGAACACTCATAGATTATTTACTGTACAAAGAAACTGAAAGACAAGGTAAAACTGTTAAAAGCTCGGAGTAAAAATATTCTCCAGACATCACGTTCGGAGGAATAATCAAAGAATACATATGTCTTTGTTTAATAATAACGTGTTCGATTTGCTCCTTGCACATTGTTCACTTGCTTCAATGAATATTCTATTCCCCTAAGCTATTTTATTCTTATGACCCCGTGTAGCAAGTGTCCAAATGTATTTGAACGAGAATACGGTTCGATCCCATTACCGACAACAACGTTGGCACGCGTTCACGCGTTGTTGCGGTATTTCGTGTAATGAAAAGCACTCGTGTTGTGTCGGTGTATCGTGCGTCTGCGTCTAGTATGCGAGTATATCCCGTATGGTATGTCTCTCTGCGAAAGCTTGATCGACGTTCGGGGTCCGGTCCCAGGCCCCCGGACACACGGCCCGTTGTGCGATCGGTAATGTTACAGAATATACGTGGTCATAAAGCTGCGTCTACACTATATAGCAAAATAATGTTGTATAACTTCGCTATATAACATGTTATCATAGCTTGTTACAAGATTGTGTTTTCTGGATGAGTCTGTAACAAGTTGGTATAACATTTCGCGTCTCATTATTTAGTAACGACGTCACACTTGATGGATAACATATAACTTGCTATATAACACGAAAAATGTTACATAATATTTTTCTTTCTGTTTTTCTAACAAGTTTTCTAACAACGTGTTATGTTATACAGGGTGTCTCATTCGATTATCAGGTATTGATTTTCTCGCTATTGTTACTGGTAGCAAAAAATGTTTCAGCGGATGCTTGAATGGTATCGAATGGAGCATATTCTGATATTATTAGTTTTTTCGTGAGTAGCCACGTAAAGGTCATATAAAGGTCAACTTTGTTTTTGTAAATGGAATGAGGTATTTTTTAATACATCAATCGATGCAGCTGGACATTCGTTATAAAAAAGTACTAACCTATGTATATATGGATACGTATGTATAGTGTAGACGCAGCTTAACACACACGTCCTCGAAGATGCAAACACCCGTCATGAGGTGGTGGTAGCGGTCGAGGAGAGCTCCCGTCGCGAACGTGTGTCGCGCGGGGCGAAAGGAGACAAAAAAAAAAGCAGGAAGAAGAGAAGAGAAAAAAGAATCCTCTGTCATCCAATAGGTGAACGTAAAAAGTCTGCGAGCATACACAACTAATTACTATATAAAGGAACCCGGAAGGGCTCCTTCGAACCACATAATTGTATTTTTATATTATTTTTTACCAACCGGCGTCCATCACCGGACGCTCTGCCGATTTTTCTCTTCCGTTTTCGAAACGCTCTCGAGCCAAAACAGAGTCGAAACCCAGCTGCCGTGTCACGATTCGTCATCGATCAAACGATCGAATGGCATGTAATCGAGCACCCGTAACGGACCTCAACGAATTAGAGGTCACGATTTTAATATTTAAGGATTATTGTAGGCCGTTCTCCCTTTATCCTCGGCGTCACACACCCGATATATATGTATATTGAGATACCACGTGATCCGTTCCACACGAGACACGTCACCGACCAACAAGACACGTCCACGGTCCGCCGTACGCGGATACTGCAACTCACCAAAAGACTGACCGATCATTAATGTTCGACTTCGTAGGTATATTATAATCGAAAGCGTTAAAATAGCCGGACGCTGTCTACACGACCGCGGACGTTTTCTTTAAAAAAAAAAAAAAAAGAAAAAAAATAACGGATCAACGGTTCCCCCCTTCGGGGATGTTGGACACGCGTGTGTGCTCCGATCTTCCTCCAGAGGCGGTTTTCTTCTCGTACATTCCTATTACGACGTAGGTTAATTTTTACGATACGTACACATTACGATACATATAATTGTCGCGTCGATGGGGTTTCACGGACATACCTGGGAATACACCAGTACGTTTTCACGTGCCCTCGAAGAATTTGAACGGGTACAGCCACGAAATATTTCGATATCGAATGAAATGCTGCAGATTTTGTTAAATGCTTATGGACTTCTCGTTAATGCGAGTGAAGGTGGAGAGGCGAACATTAGCTTCCGATGTTCTGGTCCGATTATACTATTTTGGGAACGATTAATCCTTCGCAGATGGGGTTCGTTTAGCTACTTCAGAGACGGAATTACATTCTGTAACCCTTGTGTTGTGTTCAAGAAGAAAATGAGTTCTTACACTTGAATAAAATCAATAGAATTATTATAAGATCGAAAGAAGTAAACGTTATCCCGACAGCACGTAATCGCGTGAAATATGGGGGGGGGGGGGGGTCGATGATTAGTCAGTCGGGCTACCTTGAAACTCCATCGGCGGTCATGTCCCGCAGGTATTTCCATATTACTAGTACAATTTTGTGCCAATAAACAGATCGAATGTTAACTAAAGCGAGAGACCAATAATGATAAATGTACAGAGTATTCTCACAAGCATACACCACGTACACACCTTCGCATTATTCACGCGGCGTCACGCGGGCAAAAGTGTCTTCTCGTGGTCGTTTGTTGACATTTTGAATTTTTGTATCCGGACATGTGCACACAGTTCAGAGTCTTGATATCCGAATTCCTGTACCCATAGATGAGTACCAGAATCTTAATAATTAGACTCCTACGATCGTACACAGGTACTCTGATCCTTGGT